AGGCCTTTTTTGAGCACACTCTATGGGCCTGCCCTATCCTACAGGGAGGAGCACAGAGATGCCCATGACAGTAGGCCTTTTTTGAGCACACTCTATGGGCCTGCCCTGTGCTACAGGGAGGAGCACAGAGATGCCCATTGAGTTCCTTTCTTACTCAAGGAACTCAATGCCACAATCCTAGTAAAGAGCTATGAGCTAATGCAGGCAGTCAGGATGGCAAATCGAATTGGTTTGTAGTGCTGCCTAGAGTGGGTTTGAGCAGACAGTGATTCCACTGAGGACGTCTGTTGTTAGGGGGCATGGGAAGAGTTAGGGGGTTGGTAGCCATACATCTGTGGTTATTTGTTTTCTTTATGATTTAGTAATTTACTATGGTAATGGCAAAAGTAGAATAAGAACACTGACAAGGGAGCATTTCTTTCAGAGTAGATTTCACCTATCTGAGAAGGGGCCTCAAGGGACTACCCTACAAATGACTCGTGGCAATGGACCTTCGTGAATCCTTAGGCAAAGATGTTGCAGCAAATTCTAAACAATGATTTCATCAAAGGGACAAACTCCATTTTTAATTTTCTGATTAATGTCTTTGGCCAGAATAGAAGAAGTCCTGTTTCTAAGCTAGTGACAGAGTTCACAGACGAATGCACTGTAGAATCTTAGAATCGGAAGGCATCTATATCAAAGGCTACTTCAACCTTTTCACTTTACAGATGTGGAAACTGAGGCCCAGAGAGGGGGATACTTTATTTTTTATTTACTTGTTTATTTTAAACATTTTATTTATTTATTTTTCCCACTCCCCCCTCCGAGAAGAGGATACTTTAGCCAAGATCATACAGCAAGACAAATGTCAATTGGGTTTGGAACCAGCATCGTTTGTAGTGCTGCCTAGAGTGGGTTTGAGCAGACAATGATTCCACTGATTCCACTGATGCCTTAGCCCTGTGCTCCTCGCTCTCACCAAGCTGCCTCCTGGGGCACTGAGCCCTTGGGTTTACGACAAATCTGTCTGTCCACACTCATCCTTTAGGGATGAAGACTGAGTAAGACCGAGTCGGATCCTGAGACTTGAATTAGGCTGATTTCCTTCATTTCGGAAACATGGCTGTCTCTGGAAATGGCCATGTTCTGTGCTGGGAACTGAGAATACAAAGAGGGATCGATGACAGCCCTTACCAGGACACATCTACCCAGGAGGCAAAACAATGATTCTACTTAGGGCCCCGAGAGAGCAGGAGCACCAAAACCAAAAGAAAAACAAGAAAGTCCAGCTTTGATGAACTTACCCAGAACCCTTGCAATTGGAAATTCTAGAAAGAAGCATTTGAAATTGCATGGCCCTGTTGAGTTTTATATTTTCAGATGAGGAGTATTTCATCTGGGGAGGGGCCACAGTAAGTAAGCTTTACAAGGTTCTGGGCCACTTAAGGTCTAACTCTTGCTAGGACCCCATGGCTGCATAGGGGGATAGACTTGTCAGAATCAATGACAACGCATGTCGTGCCTCAGGTGCTGTAACGGTAGGGAGGCTTTGAGAGCCCAGAGAAAGTGATTAATTCCACTGGGAACATTAGGGAGATGCTGACAGGACCTCACAGATGTAAAGAGGCTGGGCGCCCCCACAGGTGGAGGGCAGAAGGCACTGGGCCCAAGGCCAAGCCCTCCTACTGTCAGCCTCTCCTGCCTCTGAGTGCCCTGCCCTGCCCAGCCCTAGTAGGGGGTTCGTGCCACCTGCATCTTCAAAGGACAAGATGTGGATATTAATAACCCAGAAGGAAAGAGAAAGCCCTGCCCTGTCTCCACAGCCCTGTTCGCTGGGGGCACGTGTCGGGCTCGCCTCCGTTCACTCACGTTCTCTGTGTCTCTTTGAACACAGAGACTTCACACTGTGGCCACAGCCCCACAGCCTGATCCTTGCTTGCTGCAGTGAGTGGAGAGGGTGGGAGAGCAGCGGAACAAAGCCGCTGAGGGGAATTTTTAAACTTAAGTTTATTTATTAATATAATATGATGATGATCATAAGGGAAACTTAAATGTTTCATCTTTGATCCCATAAGATAGTTATAGCTGTTTTATGTATGTGTGGGATCTATCATGGGGTGGGTATGTTTTTAACTCTTTTAAGTACTGCTTTGGCTTTGGTATATGTTCACATCCTCATCGGGCCCTTTAAAGATCTATGCCTAAATGTGAATGTGCTGATTCTTACCTCAGGAAGGTACTGCGACAGGCCAGGATGAGGAAAGAGCTTGAGCTAGGAGGCTCCCATGACTGGTTCAGCTAGATGTGTCCAAGGGGCCTTCTGGATGTGATGAATGGCCAAAGCTGGATCTTCCCTTCTGTATGTTTCCGTGGGTTCCTCAGGTATCCTTGCCTTCTGTGGTTCTTTAGGGACATACTGTTTCTCCGGCTGGCCACTTCCAGCTGTCCTTTCCCCTCTAGGTGTCCTAGTAAGATCCCTTTGAGGACAACCCCTCAGCAGGGGCCACTTTTAATACAAAAATATTGTGCCTTTTGCCCTACCCCACCCGCTCCACTCTCTCGGCTCTGTCACAGTCACCTTTGGACTTCTCAGTCCTTTGGCTTTCAATTTCCAAAAGACACAGGTTAAGCTCTCCATCACATTATTTACTCACTGAACAAATACCTTTGAGTGTCTGCCATGTGCTGCAGGCTCTATTCTAGGCACTTTAGAGAACAAAAAAGAAATCTCCGCCCTGTGGTGCTTAAGTTCTAACTGCAGAGTCAGACAATAAATAATAAGCGTAGTTACAAGTAAATTATAAACTGTTAGAGGTTATCAGTGCTATGGGAAAAAGGAAAAGCTGAGCAGGATAAGGAGATCAGGAGGACAGGGGTGGGAGTTCCAGTTTTAAATTATGTCAGGGCGGGCCACACTAGTCAATGAAAAGCTAACATCTTGAACAAAGACAAGGAGGCAAGTGACTGGGCCATGTGGCTGGCTGGGTACAGCCTGAGCACAGGGAGAGTCCCTGGAGCTGTGGCCTTAAGCAGAGGATGGGGATGGTGATCTGGGGTCCCCAGCAAGGGATTAACTTTAGACAGGAACATGGAAGGTAGGGATTTTTTTAAAAAGTAATGTGTCTGCCTTGTAGTATAAGAGAGACCAGGACTTGGCCCTTGAAAGTGCCCTGAGTTGTAGTTTTTCGCACAGTTCTCAGGGGGCAGGGTGGCACTGGCTTAGTACGCAAGGCTACAGTTTGTAGAGTCCACCTGGTTGTGTTGCAGCAACTCATGATTTGCTCTGCAACCCCGAAGATGTTACTTGCCTTCTCTGGACCTCAATTTCCATGTCTGTGAAATAAGGGGATGGCTCCAGCGGGTCCCCAGAGCCTGAGAGGATCTATGATTCTCCCAGCCCCTTCTCCCTGTAGGAGGGGAACACAGCCCTGCACCTGGCTGCTGGCCGGGGCCATCTGGCTGTGTTACAGCGACTCCTGGACATCAGGCTGGACTTGGAGGAGAGGAATGTGGTGAGTTGCCCCCTGGAGGACGCAGAGATGCATGACACTCACTCCCTGCCTTTAAGGAACTCCCACCAGTGATGCAGCCTAGTTTTCTGTCGTAGAGGCCCTGAAGCCAGGAGCTAGGGACATGTTCTTGGACTACTAGCCCACCAGGAAAAGCTAAGCAGCAGCACAAAAATCCAGGCTTTGTAGGGCCCGAGGCATGAGGGATTACCAAGAAGTCATACACAGGCTGTGTGCTCAAAAGATGCGAGAAGTCTCAGTGGCCAGGACGATCAGGGATGGCTTCCTGGAGTAGGAGGGAATGGACAGAAAGCAGGAGTGAGGCAGCTTGGAGGGTGAGGAGCATGTGAACACGGGTATGGAGGAGGGGTGAATGTACCACATGCCCCTCACAGTGAGAAAATCAGGTGTGAGGCTCAGGGAACCACAAAAACCAGTTCACTGTCCTCAGTAACAGGACAGTGGAGAGCTCAGAGAGCCCCGGAGCCTGGCATATGGGCGTTCTAGGCTCCTGCCATCCTCATACCTCTCCTGTGTGTTTCAGGAAGGTCTGACGGCTCTGCACGCAGCTGCTGAAGGGATCCACCCCGACTGTGTGCGGCTCCTTCTGGAGGCTGGGAGCAGCGTGAACGCCCTCACCCAGGTAGCCAGGCCTCCTCATGACTGATGTCTGCCCTTGGCTGCTGAGCTAAACCGTGGTAACAGTAGCAGCCATAATGATTTCTGAACATCGTGAGCAGAGGCTGTGAGGCAGCAGGCCCAGGTTCTGGTCTTGGCTTCTTCACTTCTGAGCTGTGTGATATGGGAAAGTTATTTTCTATGAGCCTCATTTCCCAACTATAAAATGGGGATGATATATACTTACTTTTTTACATTTCTGTGAAGCTCGAATATGAACACAGTGCCCAGGACAGAATAGAAACTCAACATCTGTTTGTGTCTTTTTATCATTAGGCATTTGATAGTTCACAAAACACCTTTATAACTATCACTTCAGAAAAATGTCCCCTGCATTTTACAGATGAGGAAAGTGAAGTTTAGAGAGGTTCAGTGACTTTTCCTGGTCACAAGCTGGTAAGAAGCAAAACTGAGTTTGAGAAGCCAATCTCCTGACTCGGTCATGAAGATTTGCCCCACCCAGTGTGGGGTGGTTCCCCATTATGAGGCCCACCTGTGAAGGGCTACACCAGCCCTCAAACCGGGGCCTGGGTGTTACTCTGGGACAGGCTTCTTCTCTTCCTCCTCATCGTATTTCCTTAAGTCAGTCACTAGAAATTCTCCCCTGGAAAGGTGGGTTGTGGTCTTTCTTTAAGTAAGGAGTTGGTATTTGTGTTTTTGTTTTGTTTTGCTTTTTACTTTTAGATCAATGACAAATAGTCTTTCTTGGCTGGTTGAATGGCTTCAGTATCTGTTCGCTATTTGTTCCAAATTTCAAAAATAAGGCAAAAATAATATTGATAATACATAATAAAATATAAATGATAGCAAAACTAGTTTGAAAACAGGAATTGAAATGGTATGCTAAAATATTTGACACAAAGTAAAGGAGAAAATAAGAACAAAAAAGATAGGAGACATAGAAAATAAATAGCAAAATGGCAAATGTAAATTTAATAATATCAATGTTAAACTTTCCTAATTGTGAATCATGCTTTATAAGCTACAAAACACTTACAGAACTCCCTTAGAAGGCATTGGAGCTACTAGCCTAGGAGTATGGGAGTGGAGGGTATGAGGGACTCCAAGGCCCAGAGAAGGAAAGTAGCTGCTTTAGGGCACCCAAATGTGTCCTTCTGGTGTTGCTCTTTGGTCAATGAGGCCCTTTCTCTGTGCCCAGCACTGGGAGGGCTTCCTAACAGTAACAGCATAGGAGTTTCGAGACTGGGGAGGTTGTATCCAGCTGGTGTCCAGCTGGTGGCCATTGGTGGGGTTGGAGCTGCCCACTGCATTGGGCCTTGTGCTCTAGTCTTGGTTTCTGGCAGAGGCCCCGTTCTGTATGGACACTCCTACCCCTCCGTGTCATGCATCAGGGTCTCTGTGAAGGGAGCAAACCCAAAGTGAATGCATTTATCAATGAGAGATGGCCTGGTTCCCACCCACTCTGTGCACTCACTCAGACAGTCTTTGAGAGGGTGACCAACTTGTTCCAGTTTGCTCCACGATGTCTTGGTTTTAAAATAGAAAGTCTTGTATCCCAGGGAACCCTCAGTCCCAGGCAATCTGAGATAGTTGGTCACCTAGTGAGGCTGGCCTGGCAGAGTGGGGAGGTATCTCATGTGAGGTCGCTGTTGGGCCAGGGGTTGGCTCTGACTGAAGAAGAGCACTTAGAAGGCCCTTCCGGGAGGAAGCCCTTGCTTTGGCCCTGGCAAGTCCTGCTGGGACACCCTGAGACCAGCTCCAGCTGGGCAGTGCATGCCAGGTAGGGTTTGCCCTGTACTGGCAAATCTTACTGTCCCCTTCTTTGAAAACATGTCCTCAGAGTCTATACTCTGCATGTGTCGGAGATACACATGACTTATGTGTCAGAGTTTGTGAGAGGAAGTGAGAAAAAGTTGAGACCATAATGAGCTCCTTTTACTAGACACCAGGCCTCAGCAAGTCATTGATTTCTCCAGCCTCACGGTTTAAGGGGGATAGTAGTCCGGGAGAACGAGAGTATGAGACAAAAATGGAATAATGAATCCCAAAGTGCTTCGTAAACTCACTGTGAGGGGACATTGCAATGATTCCTGTTTTCCTCTAGAAGGAACAGAGCGGCCTGCACTACGCAGCCCTTGGAGGCTCTGAGGATGTGGCCCGGGCCCTCATCCATGCAGGAGGCTGCACCAATGTAGCTGATTATGTAAGTGTGGGGCCTGGGCTGAAGGGAGTGTCCTCTGCAAAGTCTTCCACGACCTCATTGATTGGGGTGGGAGGTGGGGGTGGGGCCCAGGACCAGGGAAGCTGGCCGCAGGTAGGAAAATCAAATAAGGTTCTAGTGGAACAGGATTAGAAACCAAGGTTGCACTTCTTCCCGAGTGAATTTGCTCCTGTTTTCCACTCATTTATCCATTGGGTCTTAGTAATGATCTTTTTATTATACATCTAGCCTCTTGGTTGTTCATTTTTTTTCCTGTTATGTTGTGGTACACATAGTATACCATAGATGACAGGGAACCTTGTGGTTAAGACGTGGACTTCGGTGTCAGACAACTCGGCTTTGCGGCCTGGGTCTGCCACTCAAAAACTAAATGACCTTCAGCGAGCAGCTTTGACCTCCCTGGGCCTCTATTTCCTTATCTATAGGTCCTATTATTATTCTCATTACATAAATGAGGAACTATCTATTATTTAAATTAGAAAGAGGTCATTTCATATAGCTGAAATAAATACTCTATTTAAAATTATTGTAAAGACAGTGTAACACAGTTTATTGGAATATAGAGGAAAAAAGGCATCCTTAATCCCAAAGCTCTAGTAAAGCAATACTTTATTCCCTCTCAGTTTCTCCTCAGCACCTCCAACTAGAATGAATCTAAGCTAAGGCAGAATTCTGGAAAGGGGGATGCTTATTTGTTTTTCCGCATCAAGACGCAAGAATCTTGACTCTAGTCCAGTGGAGTCTACCCAGCCCAGGTATCCAGAGTTGCTGCAGTTTTCCTAGTAGCTGTTTTTAGGGGCTGACCATGCCAGATGTGGTCCAGTGTTCACATCACATTTTACTTAACAGTTCCTCAACTGTTGGATATTTAAGTTGGCTCTGATTGTGCCACTATAAATATTGATTTCATGAACATCTTTATGGCGTATAATTTTTTATTTCTTTTGTATTATATGTGAATTTTCCAAACTGGATTTCTAGGACAACTAATAAAAACATTTTTATGATTTTTGATATAAGTTGTTAAATTGCTTTCCAGAAAGTTCACAGCATGTAGCTCCTAGTCATTTTTGAGTGACCTTTCACCAATATTAGATATTAATCAATTTTGTAGTTAAATGATTCTTTGTTATTGTTTTATTTTAAATCTCTTAGATTATATTGAACTTTTCCCATTAACTCATTTTTCTAGTTTGTTCTTCTGTTGTGAGTTATTTCTTCAGATCCTTTGCCCTAATGGTGAGTTTTTCCTTTGTGTTTTTTTTTAAACTAATTTTTGGACCATCATGTATGTTGTTTGCTCTTATAATTTTTTGACATACTGAAGGTGTAAGTTTTTATGAAATCAAAATTATTCTTGACACAAGCTTTGAATTTTAATTTAGTAATATTCTAGTTGTTTGATGTTTCTTTTTAATCTTCCTAAAATGTACTTTTACATATGGTGTGATATATTAATAACAGATGTTCCTCCCACAATTTTTTATGTCTCTATCTCAAGTGTATTTATTAAATAATTCTAACATATTTTAGTGCTTTTTCATTCCTTCCATCATCACATATTTACATTTTGATATATGATGGGTTCTATTTCTGGGTGAAAGATTCTTTTTTAATGAGTTGTATTTCTAATCTTGAGCCAGTACCATACTATTTTATTGTTGCCTTATAATTTGTTTTAAAGTCATATATAATAGTCTCCCTTAATTATTCTTGTTAGTATAATTTTTTTATCCCTTTATATTCTCACCTGTTTATTCTTCCAATTGAAATTTAAGGTAATTTTGTCAAAAAATTAAAGATTTAGATTAATCACTGTACTACTGTAAACTAATTGGAGATCATTTAAATGATTTTAATAATTAGTCTTCCTATATAGAACACAATATGTCTCTCTATATGTTCAAATATTAATTTAAATCTGCCAACAAAATTACACTTTAAAATTCATTAAAAGAAGTTTAGAAAATGTAATAAAATCATCCATTATCTACTACCCACAGATATGCTTTTTTATTTACTCTATAACAATTTTTAAAAAATTACCTATTTTAGTATAGTTAGAATTATAATATATATATATATATAATTTTGTGCCCAGCAATACAGCATTTCTGTATTGCTGCATAGCTTTTGATGATGACATTTGGTCTGATATTAGAGGGGTCATGATTTAATAGCCTCTTTAACAAGGTATGACATCGAGTTTACTTGTCAATACCAGTGGTACAGCTTTATTCGTGCATGTAAATTTTCTTTTGGAAAGATTCCCAAAAGTGGGCATTTGAGGTTGTGAACATCTTTCTAGTTCTTGATATATAAACCTAATCACTTCCTAAAAATCTTGTGCCAATGTGCAGAGCCACAGCAGTGTGTGGGCCACACATTTCTTACTCCTCTCACCAATATTGTATATTAGGTTTTACATTTTTCTTCCAATTGAAAAAAAAAAAAGGTCTATAGTTTACATTAGGTTCACTCTTAGTGTTGTACATTCTATGGGTTTGGATAAATATATAATGATATGTATCCACCATTATAGTAACACAGAGAATGTTTTCACTGCCATAAAAATCCTCTGTTTGACTATTCAACCCCTACCCACACCCACCCAGCCTCTGGCAACCATAATCTTTTCACTGTCTTCATAGTACTGCCTTTTCCAGAATGTCATATAGTTGGAATCATACATTATATAGCCTTTTCAGATTGGCTTATTTTACTTAGTAATATGTATTACGGCTCCTCCGTGTCCTTTCATGGCTTGATGCTATGATAGCTCGTTTCTTTTTAGCTTTCAGATTGGCTTATTTTACTTAGTAATATGCATTACGGCTCCTCCATGTCCTTTCATGGCTTGATGCTATGATAGCTCATTTCTTTTTAGTGCTGAGTAATATTCCATTGTTTAGATACACCACAGTTTATTTATCCATTTGTTTACTGAAGGACATCTTGGTTGCTTCCAAGTTTTGGCAATTATGAATAAAGCTGCAATAAACATCTATATATAGGTTTTTATGAGCCATAACTTTTCAACTCCTTTGGGTAAATACCAAGGAACATGACTGCTGGATCATATGGTAATAGCATCTTTAGTTTTGTAAGAGACTGTCAAACTGTTTCCCAAGGGGGCACCGCCTTGGATGAGAGCTCCTGTTGCTCCACATCCTTGCCAGCATTTGGTACTGTCAGTGTCCTGGTTTTTAGTCATTCTAGTAAGTGTGTATGTACATCACTGTGTTTTTTTGAGCACTTCTTTACTTTCTATCACAAGATGCTCCTGACTCATCCTATATATTTCCTGCCCTAGTCCTAGAATCAATTTCTCCAAGAAGCACCAGTACCTTTTATTGGAGAATGTGCATCTTGCTTTTATCACATAACTATATCTTTAAGATCTTTCCATATAAGTATATATATTTAAAAACCTCCTCATTCTTTCTTATAGCTGCATAGTATTCCACTCCATGGTTGGACCATAATTTATTAAATTGTCTTCTATATAAGTGTGGTTCTAATCTTCTGCTATTACAAGCAATACTGCAACAAAAATCTACACATATATCATTCCATATTTGTGGAATTATATCTGTAGAATAAATGTCTAGACATAGATTTGTTGGGTCAAAGGGCACTTGCACTTGTACTTTTTATACATACTGTCAAATTGCTGTCTCTATGGACTGTATCAATTTATACTCACTCAGTAATATAAAATGGTGCCCATTTCCCCACAGCTTTGTCAACACATTTGGCAAAGCTTTTGGATTTGTGCCAATCTGATGAGTGAAGAATTTTATCTCCATGCGGTATTAATTTATATTCCTTTTAAGAGTCTTCTGTATTCCCTTTTTAATCAAATGTCTGTTCATAGCCTTTGACCATTTTTCTCTTGGGTTATTTTTTATTTTGTAATGATTTACAGGAACCTGTTGAAGGACATCTGGTTGTTTCCGGTTAGGGGCTAATATGAATAAAGCTGCTATGAACATTCATGTATAGATTTTTGTATAAACACACATTTTCATTTCTCTGGGATAAATGCCAAGAATGCAATTGCTAGGTCCTATGGTAATTGCATATTTAGTTTTATAAACAATTCCAAAACTGTTTTCCAGAGTGGCTGTACCATTTTACATTCCCAGCAGCAATGTACTTGTAATCCAGTTTCTCCATATCTTTGTCAATATTTGGTGGTGTCGCTTTTTAAAATTTTTTCCATTCTGATATGTGTGTAGTGATATCTCATCATGGTTTTAACTTGTATTTCCCTGATGGCTAATGATGTTGAACATCTTTTCATGTGCTTTTTTGCCATCTGTATATCCTCTTCAGTAAACTGTCTAGTCATGTCTTATGCTCATTTTCTAAATGTTTATTTTTAACTGTAGAGTTTTGAGAGTTCTTTTTATATTCTAGAACTAGCCTTTGTAAGATATGTGACTTGCAAATATTTTCTCTTGGTCTGTAGCCTGTCTTTTCATCTTCTTAACAGGATCCTTTGCAGAGCAAAACACTTTTAATTTGACAAGATCCAATTTATCAATATTTTCCTTCTTTGGGTCGTATTTTTGGTGTCAAATTTAAGAACTGTGCCTAGTCCTAGATCCTGAAGTTTTCCTCCTATGATCCATTTTGAGTTAATTTTGTGTAAGATGTGTGGTTTCAGTCAAAGGGCTTATGTCGTTTGTTTGTTTTGCCTACGGAGGTCCAATTGCTCTGGAACCATTTATAGAAAAGGCTATCTAACTTCCTCCACTGAGTTGCTTTTGTACCTTTGTCAAAAATCGGTTGGGCATATTCATGTGGGTCTCTCCACCCTCGCCCCCCTTTTAAAGCATACTATTCACAGTGTCCTGCAGTTTCTAATAAACTTTTTGTTTTAGAATATATATAATTTTACATAAAACTTGCAAAGGTTGTACAAACAGTTCTCATATACCCCACATCCAGTTCCCCTATTAATACCATCTTACATTAGTATGGTATATTTGTCACAATTAATGAACCATTGTCAATGCATTATTATTAACTGAAATCCATACTTTTTCCAGATTCCTTAGTTTCTACCTAATGTTCTTTTTCTGTTCCTGATGAAAAGTAGCAGAAAAGGGAAATGACTTGCCCAAAGTCACCTAGTGAGTTCTTGGCATAGCAAAATCTCAAACTTGGGTCTTCAGGTCCCTGCCCACCTTAAGGATAAGTTTTGGACCCTAGGGATTCAGGCTTTGGGGCTATAAATACCTCAGGCCACCGCCAAACCCAGAAGCACTATCCATACCCCGCCATACTCCCATCCTGCAGCACCCGCCTGCAGCCTGGCAGTCCTGGGAGGGACACGTCAGTTGATCCGCATGTCTCCCTCCTCAGCAGGGTGCCTCTCCAATGCATCTCGCTGTGAGGTACAACTTTCCCATCCTGGTCCAGCTCTTCATTGATGCCGGCAGTGACCTGGATGCCACTGACAACGTAAGTGGCTGCAGAAACCATCTGGGCCCCATGGAGCCTGGCACCCTCTTGGGCTGGCAGGGCTGGACTGCGGTGTATCAGCATGGCACCAGAGCTGAAGAATTGCTTTTTTAGCTTGTAAAAAGCTATTCGAATATTTGTTAAAGGTAACTTCGTTTTATTACCCACTCTTCTATTTTGAACATGTTGGTGGTTTTCAAGTTTTTGCCATGATATATATAACACTGCAGTAAACGTCTCCCTACATTCAACCTTTTCCTTTTGCTGTCTGTTATCCTTAAGGAAAATTCCCAGGGAAGAGGTGATGAAGCAGTCTTGTGTAATGACAAGAGGCCTCTGAGTCCTGAAGTTGTGATCTGTCAGGAGCCTTTTTAAATCCCTATCTCCACAATCCACCTCCCAACCATATAGTCCTCAGTGCTGGCACACAGAACCACTAGGAGTAAAAAGCAATTTGGCAGGATATATTGTAGACTGTTAAAATGGTCAGTTTTTGCAGGACTGAGAATTCAGCTTTGAGAAATATGCATAAAGATATTCATTGCAGTACTGTTTAGCAGTCCTTGATTTGAAAATGACCCCAAAATTTAAAAACTGAGAAGTGTTAGGTAAATTATGGTATGGATGTAGACTATTATAAAGCTATTAAAAACAGCATTTATAAGAGTTTATAATATGTGGAAAGTATTATGTTAAGTATAAAAATGAATGCAAAATGTATATATATAGGATGATCTCAAATATGTAAAACTATAAATATAATATACAGGATCATTACAGAGCTGGACTTAGGTGGGTTATCAAGTAATATTTTTTCTTTATTCTTTCCACCTTTTTGTTCTCTGCTGAGTATTATGTTCATTATTAAACCTAGTTTACTCCCTGCCTCCCATAACTTCTTAGAGAAGTTATAATCCTTTGTTAAGTTCCAGCTTGGTGTGTACCCACTTTGGTCCTGTCTTGGCTTTGAGCCTGGCCCACCCTGTATGCCTTTCTGATCCTCCCATCCCCTTGGCTTCTTCCGCAGAGGCAGCAGACGCCCCTCCACCTTGCTGCGGAGCACGCCTGGCAGGACATAGCGGAGATGCTCCTGGTTGCGGGGATTGACTTAAACTTGAGAGATAAGGTACTTCTCTGCTCACAACCAGCCTCCCTTTCATGCTTTCATGGCTCCCTGTTTGCCAGAGACCCTGCTGAAATGCCTCCTGCTCTCAGAGTGTCAAGGCCTCCCATCCCTATATACTAGCACAAATGCAACCTCCTCTAGGAAGACTTCCTGCCCCTTTATTACCTTCCCTTGCCTTCTCTGAGATCCCTCAGCATTTAAATCACCTGGTGGGGAGTGGGGTTGGGGAGTGGAGGAGCAGCACATCAGCATTCCACAAACCCTTCTGAGGTAGCTACCTCCTCAGGTGGCTGGAGATCTGGGAGGTCACAGGCTCATGAAAAGAATGGCATTTGTATATGTGGCCCAGCAAGGCCAGCCCTTCAGGTGGGATGGGGAGGGTCGGGGGCGAGGAGGCAGACCAGGCCCTGAGGCTGGACCTGGGAGGGGCTCCCTGCTTTCAGCTGGGCCCCAGGGCAACTGACCACACTCCAAGAGGAGCTTCCCATTTCCCCACAGGTCCTAGGAGTGGCTGAGGCCAGCACTGTGCAGGAGGCATGGAGCTGGGAGACTGAGGGGAGGTGGGCAAATAGGACACAATAAGCCCAAGCCCCATCTCTGGGCTCTTGTTTCATCCGAGAAATGGGGCTGGTAACAACTATTTCACAGGTAATGTTGGAGTTATGCAGGCTTGTGTTTCATTGTTCTAAGGCTTCCTAAATTCTAAAGAAACACAAGAGGTGGTAGCTGGAATTATTATTATTACTTTATTCAACCTATGACTTTTCCACCTCTCTTGTCATGCTCAGAAAGCCCTTCTGCTCTCCAGTGTAGACTTTTGGGAACTGCTTTCTTTGGGCAGCAGGGTTTGTAGACGGTGCTAGATCCTTCCTGTAGAAACTGTGGCTTCCCTCCTCGCTTCTTACTTGCAGCAAGGAAAAACCGCCCTGGCAGTGGCCGCCCGCAGCAACCATGTCAGCCTGGTAGACATGATCATAAAAGCTGATCGTTTCTACAGATGGGAGAAGGTACTGACACCCTATGCTTGATCTCTCCAAGTTGGAAAGGAAGCAGCCTTGCTCGAGGTGAAACTGTTTATTCTGTTTCCAAGGGGGTAATAATCCCTGCCTTACCTACTACTAGGGTTGATTGTGAGGGTCTGGGGATGGGGGATTATCCAAACCACACTGAAATAAGGCTGACTGAGGTCCATGCCAATGTAGAAAGACTACTGGATATGGCTGTCACTCTTGGTTGATGGATGAACACATGCATGTGTGGATAAAGAGATGGCCAGTGCTTATAGCTCACTGCCAATCTCCAGGTGATTGGAATTGCTGCTTGGAGTATTGTATTCAGGCAACTTTCTGAGCCCAGTAGGAAAGTGTGTTGGGATTGATTAGTGATGTCTGC